ACCCCCCCCCCCCCCCCTGCGCCCCCTTGCCACCCCCCCTGCCTCTCCCTCCATCCTACATACAATGATTTCCTTGCCGTCAGACACCCTTTCGAACTCTTCCTGAAGGTGTGCCTTGACAGAGGCATTGCCCATGGTTGACTTTGGGCTTCTGTCGAGTGTCGTCGCCTGTCACCCGCACGACCTGTCACCCGCACGACCGCTTGTCTGGCCCGCCCGCCGTCAGTCAGCGAGCTGGCGGTCCACCTACTACCTACTGATGCCATCGAGGGCAAAGCTACTGTGTGGGACAGCCCTCTGCTCGAAAGTTCACTTGAGAAGATCGATTGAGGGAGCGCTAGACTTCATCACCGGACGATGACCAGCCACCATCAGAGTGCGAGGCGCGCTGCGTGCCCGGCTCGGCCTTGTCGGCTTGGGTGCCGGATTGTGGGGTGTGGGCGGTGGCGTTGTGGACAGGCGGCGGTCCGCCGGCTGGTGGAGGCGGAATAAACGACGTATCGTACTCATCGCCATTGCCAGGCGGGGTGCTGCTGCCATTGTTCGGCTCGTGAGGCGGCCCACCTGAAGGTGGCCCACCTGAAGGCGGTCCACCTGAAGGCGGTCCACCTGAAGGCGGTCCACCTGCAGGCGGCGGTGGAATGAAGGATGTGTCATACTCTTCCGATTCGGGAACCTCACCGCCACCAGCGGCGGGAGGGGCGTCAGGATCGGCGGCGGCGAGCTGGGCCTGAAGTCGTTCGACATCGACCGACGACTCGCGATTAGGCGGCGGCGGAGGCTGCTTGCGGCGGCGGAGCAGAGTCGAAAACCGCTTTCGTTTGCGATCCGGATCCTTGGACAATTTCGCCTTGCCCTTCTTGCTCTTGCCGGCGCTCTTCTTCTCTTTCCTAGACTCGCCTCTTTTGACCGGCGACGAGTAGGTGGCGACAGCCGACGGGCCGAAGGAGGCTGCGGCGGCGCCGGCGGCGGCTAGATCGGCAAGCGTGAGGTGGCGACCGGCGGCACGGCGATCGGCGCGACGCTGGCGGCGGGCAATCTTCTCGCGAATGAAAGGCGCACCAAAGACGTCCTTGAACATTCGCTGGAAGAAGACCCGCTTCTCGGCCGTGGTTGTGATCGACGCCTGCTCCGTCACAATCGACGAAACGTCTGAGGCTGAGAGTGCCTCGCGGGTCTCGCCCACAAACAAGTCCATGTCTGTCTTTTCGTCGCACTGCGAGAGAGCGTCGGAAATCTGCGACGCCCACTGGTCCGACGGCATCTTGACAAACGAGCGCACAATGGCCATCAGCTGCCGCACAAGCTCCAGCCGTGACTTCTCCACACCCTCGAGATCGGTGATGTACTGCGGACGCAACTCACCAATGTACTCTTCCTCGGCCGTGTTGAACTGCTCCACAGACGCCTTGTATTGCGACAGCGCAGCGTCGGCCTTCTTTTTGAACTTGAGATAGTTCTTGGACGACATGTCGTCCGATGCCTCTTTTGCTGCGTTGTTCCGCGCCTCAGACTCCTTCTTGCTCGTCTTGATCCTGTGCCGCAGATCATCCAGCTCCTTCAGCTTGGCCTTGTTGTCTGACGCAAGCCGCTTGGACTTTTTCGACGCAGACTTGGAAAACGCGCTCACTGTGTCGTGGAAGACCGAAAACCGGGTGTGGAACCGCTCGTTCCACGCCGCCATCTGCTTGACGACGCCCGCCGTGACCGACAGCGCATACGAGTGGGTCAGTTCCTCACCGCCGACGCCCTTGCCGCCTCCCCGCCCGCCGTTGGCCAGCCCCTGGTCCTCATCCTCCCCACCTTCTCCTTCGCCGCCACCATCTCCCACCAGATCACGTTCCAGCGCCTTGATCGACTTCTTCAGCGTCTTTGCCATGTCAAAGAAGCCGACCGCTAGCTTCTCAATCATGGCCCCTGCCGCCCTCAGCTCCCCCAAGTTGGCATCCGACCGATCCCACAGCCGCTACTCCCCTCCCACCACCCCATCCACCAACTGCTTCCATAAGTCCATCTTCTCCCCTCCCAATCCCCCGCTCCCTGTGCGAGCTTTTCGGCCCCAGGGAGGGCCCTGCCTGCAGACGCGTCCTCGCTCTGCCACTCTAAGATTTTGTTCATGGCCGACTGATCGTTCTGTCGAGCCAACCTGATTGACGCTGCCTAGTCCTGAGATGGGGCGATAAAGAATAAGGCCTAGCGCGGGCGGCCCG